GAAAATAAATTGCTTTTACTGTTTTAGTGTACCTTCAATTTTGTTGAAGAAATACATTCTGCGTCTCACACAACACAACTGTTTTATTCATAATGGGTAATAGTTTTCACAGTTATCATCAGAGTTATCACAAAGTTTAATTTATCAGCCTGATCTCTTGATCCTAAGCATTCCTAGTTGTTATATAGTTTTCAGAATTATGGTTATTCCATATGGACTTATCCATTCCCATATTACTGGACTTTTAGACTCTTTACACCTTTTTACTGTAATAAATCCATGGCTGAAGAGTCCTGGCTTCCTTGCTACTAGACACGCTGTTGTTGTTGTTGCTATTTTTATTGTTCGGTGCCTGAAGTTGGCTCCTTCTCACAGACAACTCTGGGTGCAACAGAGCAAAGCACGTCTGGTCCTGTGCCACCCTCACAATTACTGTGGTTGAGCTCATTGTCGCAGCTCTACTCTATCCATCTCATTGTGCGTCTTCCACTGTTTTGCCGCCTCTCGACTTTACCAAGCATGATATCCTTTTGCAGGATTTCCCTCTTGGTAAGATGTCCAGAGTACGTGAAATGAAGTTTCAGCAACCTCCCTTCTAAGGAACATTCTGGTTGTACTTCCAAGACAGATTCCCGACCCGCTGGTAGTTCATGGTCCTTTCAGTCATCTTTGCCAGCCTCATAATTCAAATGCATCAATTCTTTTTTGATCTTATTTATTGTCCAACTTACATGCGTATCTGAGGCTACAGAAAATATGATGTGGGGTTAGGGGCAAAATGACATCCTTGGTATCTGAAAAGACCATGAAATTAGAAGTCAGAACACCTGGAATATGGTCCTATTTTTCTGTGAACTAGTTTTGGGAGCTCAGCAAAGACATTGATGAGGCCTCACATTGGGCATGCAAGATCTAAAAGTACCCTTACATTCTAGGATTTTATGATTCTGACTTCTGCTTTCAAAGTTCTAGTCACTTTGTTTCTGCAGATATTATGAGAAATGCAAAAAAAAAACAACAACAAACCAAACAAACAAAAAAAGAGAAATGCATTCCCAAAAAGTTTGTTGACAAAAGGTGTGGCTATCGAGTTGACTCTGACTCATGATGAACTGACATATGATAGAATAAAACATAGCTGTTATAAAAAAAGGGGGGAGGATGGCACTCCTCAGTGCTTCCTTAATAATTAGATCATCTCTCTTCAGAAGTCAATTTTATTGAAGTTGTCTCACACAATATCCACTTTTTCATTTAAGTTCTGATAGTCCTAAATGGCTATGCAGAACTGACAGACAATGATTGTAAGTTTTATTTTTAAAGTTAACAGGTTGTAATGCAAGTGAGAAATGCTCAGGATACAGTTGATCTTATAGGAAAGGTTGCAAAGTTTTTTCTGGGATGCCAATAAATGGCCAGAGGGCATTCCATACTGCCAATAAAATGCTCACAGGGCATTCCATTCTGCTGCATCACTCGATCCAAAGGCATTCAGCTCAGGCTCCATGGGTCAGCAAGCCCAGCTCGCCAGCTAAGTGCTCAGAGGCAGCCCTCTCCACAAAAGCACTCAGCTTCACTTGCTCCCTGGGTCAGAAAGCCCATCACTCTGTTCCATGCTCTGGCTCCTGGTTCTGCTGCTGCTGTTCCTCTGATGTCACAGCTGTCTTCTAGATCCAGGAGGCTCACTGTGTAGGGATCTTAGGTCCAGAGGACATGCTCCACCCCTAGCTCTTATTGGCAGTGAGATCACTTCTCCTGCTTCTCAGAGAGCTGTGTTGTTGTTTTTTTTAGACACTAATAGCATTTATTATGATTAATGCAATAAGATCAAATTAAATTTAAAACACAATATGGAGATCGAAAAACTATCACTGATCATTTGCCAGGACTAACCGTGACCAGGAAAAAGACGAGGCTCCTACTCAGATGCTGGTAGTTACAAATCTCAGAAACCCGCAGGGACAATTCTACTCCGTCCTAGAGGGTGCCCTAGAGGGTCGTGAGGAGTCGGAATCGACTTAATGGCATTGAATTTGAAAGGGTTGGGTTTTTCTTTTTGAATACTGACTGTATCTCAAAACTAACCAAAAAAAGAAAGTGTGTACACAGAGCCCTCTCTTTGATAGAAAGACGAGGCTGGCTGCTCCCACAGACCTACAGTCTCAGTAACCCTAGATAAGGTGCCTTTGAGTCGGAGTTGATTGTATTGCACCGTTTTACTCTACCTTTAGTTGCACTGTAAACCCCAGGGTTGTCAGTTCGGAACCACCAGCAGCTCCATGGGAGAAAGACTGGGCTTTCTACTCTCCGACTGTTTCAGTGGCGGACACCCATGGGGGATCGCTTGAGTCAGCTGATGGCAGTGAACTTGGTTTTTGTTGTTGTGGTTTATACTAATAGAGCCTCGCTGCCATTGAGTGGTCACAGTGGTCTATCTATAGGAAGAGTAGAACTGCCCCTGTGGGTTTCCCACCGGATAACTCTTTAAGGGAGTATTTAGAGCATAAGTTATCAAATGAGAAAAGGCTTTGACAGGCTAAGGAACTTAGCCAACTTGACCAGTACCTAGCGCTGGAGTCAGGATTTGAACCTGAATTGCAGATTGCCAACTCGGGCTGGTGCACCCGCTACCCTGGAAGCGCTCCCAAGCCCCGCCTCCTGCTGGGCAGTCCTTCCAGAAGCCCCGCCCCCGTCCTGGTCAGACCTGAGCTCCTCAACCCTCCGCAGGGGCTCTCGCTCTACAGGCCCAAGAAACGTGTCAGCCCCAGCCTTCAGGCGTCTTTCTGAAAGGCCATTTTTCTTTCCGTCATAAATGCGTCCCCACGCTTTTCTGCCCTGTTCGCCTCTCAGAGAGCTGTTTTATATGCAGCAGGATGTCATTCCAATGAATCATGTTCATAATTACTCATAATTACAGGTGAATCCTGCGCCTACTTTCTTACGAGACCCACAGGACAAGGTCATTTGGTAGAAACTAGAGGCTTTGGCTAGAAGAGCCACATTAAATAATTCCCTGTCCCTGCACACACACACACTGATACATATGTACTCACATGAATCAAGCAAAGCAGAACCGTCCGGGTTTGCAGCTGCATAACAAAATGTTCTGCACAATGGGGCCGCTCTTCTCTCCCAGTCACCTCATTTTGTGCACTTGACTGTTGACAAGCTCTTTTGTTGCCTCTGTCATAGCCTGTTGAAGTTTTCATTACATCCCCTCAGGATCTGTGGATTAATTCACCAGTTAGCTTTCTTGCTTCATTCTTTCTTCCCAGTTCATCGTACTGCCAGTTGAATTTTTCTCAGTACAACCTTCAACCCAAGTGTTCTCCAAGGACTCTTCTTTGCCTGCCAAAGGAAGGTCTAACTCTTAAACTTGACATTCACCACTTGGCCTGCTTTGATGTGTTACTCCTGTCAATTCCCTCACTTCGGGGCATGTGGTCATTAGCTGCTGTAGGCTTCTGTGGTGTGTTTGATGTCCTCATAGATTGGGGACCTTAGCGTTCCTCATGTGCCTGTTAGGTTCAGTCTTTAAAGTCTTTCTTAAACTCTGCCAGTTCTTCTTAGCCCAACGTGATTTTCCCCTCTCTCACACCCGCAGAGGATTCTTAGAGTCCCTCATGATTGAGTTGTTGGTTTATATGATTCCCCTGACTTCAGTGGCCTTCAGATGCTCCAAACTCACCGATCTTTCAACATTCATTCCCTTCCATCTTTTCTGGATATGGATTTGCCAACTGGAAGTAAAAAATCGGAAGCTGGTACCACAGCTTGGAAAGATCAGTTACAATTCAACCAGAACATTGACAGTGAGCCTCTTCTTTCAGCTCCCCCATTAAATCTCGTGGAGGACTCCCCGCAGTGTTTCCTACTCGGTGACTCTGGGAGTGCATTTGCCATTCCGAAGATCAAGTGTAGTTGTAATCAACAGTGAAGAATTGTGTCAGCATTGGCTCCTTTTAGTAATCACTTGAAATCTGTTTATGCCCTTGCATTCCAATTTTGAAATTTCTGACAAAATTTGTCACTCATCAGATGCCCCTTTATTAATGCAAATTCAGGTAATCCAAGGACTAGATGAAATGTCTCAGCAAAAGTGAGAGCTGACCAGATCTGTTTTGAGGATAGGGAGGTTTGCACCTAGTGTGGCTGACTGCGTCTTGAGTGAACTGCTGTCAAAAAGCATCTGCCTCTGAGCTCTCTCATCTGGCTAGTAGAGAGGACTTGCTTGTCTGGATGTTTTACTTATAATCCTGTGCCTTAGGGTTCTTTATAGAAAGAGCCAGTAAAGTTGTATACACACAGGCACACACCCCTATACTATATATAAAGAACCAAAATATTTTGAACTTTAATTTGAGGGCGATTGCGTCAAATTGAAATCTATTTATTTATTTTAAGGAAGTGACTTACATGATTATGGAGGTGAGCCTTCAGGCGAGAGATTCTTGAAGTGTCCAGGTCTCAAATCCATGGGCTAGACAACAGGAACAATGAAGAGTTCTACTAAAATGTTGAGAGTCTGGAAGCAGAGTACATGCACTGTAGGCAAAGCTCCCTTTTTTTTATGATCTTCAATTGATTGGCCTAGGCCTATCATATTATGTAGGACAATCTTCTTTTCTTAGAGTCAGTTAGTTTAACTACATGTCATGCTTTCATAACACGTAGACTAGTGTGTGACCAAACACCTGGTGTCCATAGCCTAGCCAAATCACCACATAAAATTAACCATCACACATTTCTCTTCCAAATCCTCTCTGTTGCCAAATGGAGCTGTAATGCAAGAAGACTGAGCACAGTAAATGCCGCACGATGTAAAGAGAAAAGAGTTTCTTTATTTCGGTGGTCCAGAATGGACATTAGTAAGGAAATTCCAGGGGATGTTCATTGAGGTATTTGTTGCGCATATCCTCTCAGATTGGGAATTCAAAGTAGAGATGCTTACGACTCAGTGTGTTTCATAATCTGATTTTGTTTTTTGTCTCCTTTACCAGGTTTCACCAAAGCTCATGCCAATGCAGCAGATCACAGCGTGAAACGTACCACAGACCTTTGTCCCAGGATGTGTGCTGCTGTTTCCTCCCCACTTTAACCACATCGCATGCAGTTGAAAGGACATCAGCAATCACATCTGTCTAATTCACAAGCCATTTTTGACTAGTTGTCTTCTAATATCTCCGGCATTATAGGCTTTGTTCTTGCAAATATGCTACCGCATTTTAAGGGATAACTTATAAAGTTTTCTCCTTGTGTAAGTGTTGTTGAGAAGGCTCTCTTAATAATTGGTGTTCCCACTGAATGTGTTTTCACCTTTTGTGGTCCACAATTAAATCATAAGCAATTTTGTCAATATATAGTCCCCAAGAAAGAGTTTATTGACATACTTTCCTTTCTAACTAAATTATGTAGAAAAGGATACGGGAGAAAATAATTCCACCCAGAGAATACCCAAGAGAGCTTTGTACTAGTATTACGAGAAAGATACAGACATGCACTTGCCTTATAATAAGAAGAAACCTTGTTGTTAGAATTGTGTTTCTTTATCTTCCTCTGCCTTTTCTTTTGGGACTGCTTTTGTGATTACATTTTATTTTCCTAAAGCATTCAAACCCCCCCTGCCCCCCTTCATACATGTTATAGCTAAAGCAATGTCCCAAGCAGGAAAGCAGAGCATCTCTGGGTGAGAAGTAGCTGGTAATGGTAGAGATCAAAGGGGTAGGGTGATTGCTACTGGCATTCCAAGAAGCTGTCTCTAAACCAACCAACCTTGGGTACTTCCCCCATGACTAAGATTTACTATAGAAAAAGGGCTAGAAATCTAACTGATCTCAGTGTTGTTGTTTACCACTGCATAACATTTCAATACTCCTGCTTATCCAGAAGTGTCTTTAAGACGACTCCTCTGTTCTTGAGTTCCAGTTGCCCACTTGTCTAACACTACCTCTTCTTAAGCCAAGAGAGTTGGTGGAGATAATTTATCATGAATCCTTAATCGCAGAGACAGCAACATTTTGTTTTGTGTTGTGCTGTAAGTCATTTTTTCTGGGTCCTTTTGCTCCTATTCAAAAAGATTATAAATACTGAATTTTTATAGAGAGCAGTGTGGATATTATTTCATCAAGGCTACTTCCTTTAACAAAGTACTTTTCATTCAGCCTCTTCACGTAGAAACAGTAAGGATCAAACCCAGGTTTTTAAGAGAGTTACTGAGTGTTTAGTCTTGGAGAGTCAGTTTTCTAAGGTACTTTCCCTAAGAAGTATCCTCAGGGCCAGGCAGGCAGCCAAGGAGACGGCTTTGGAAGCAGCTTGGGTATTATTATAAAAACTGGGAAACATAGATGAAATAATAGTAATTGGATAATTATTGAACCTGGAGGATATGGTGTTGGGTTCATGAGAGGTCACTAGTACTTTACTAACTTATGACTTTCAAAGGAAAGTTATAAATGTGAAATCCATTACAGCATATTTGTAATAGTTGCAATTCTAGGTAAGGAAAACTAGGGAAGGTTTCTTGGATTTCAGATAAGAAATGAGGCCA